TAGAGAGGTATTGCACAACATTCACCTCTATGTTGCAAATCACAACTTGTGACACATAAAGGGTATTCACTTTTTCTCCCTTGAACACCACTAGAGATCCTCTTGTAAGTTTTCATTTCCTTTCACCAAAGTAACTAAAATGTTCAGGATCATCTAAGTAACTGGTAGAAATAAGGTTAAGGAAAATTTTAGGAACATGTATAACATTCTTTAGTAGCAAGTTGCAGCCAAGGTCAGCCTTCAAACAAGCATAACCTACACCAGCAATCTTAGCGGCACCATCATTTCTCAGCCAAACATAGCCATAGTCTCCATTAATGTAGGAAGAGAATAAATTTCATCGTGAGGTGACATGAAATGAGCGCCCAAATCTATTACCCAAATAGTCTTTGCATGCGAGTTCACTACTCTATCTCCATAGATGACAATGGCCTTTCCATTAGTTGCAACAACTTCTATGTCCTATTTTTTCTTGACCTCTTCTTTTTGAATTGTTCCCTTTTGAGCTTTCTGCACGTTCAATTTTTCCATAATGCTAGCACTTAACCCCCTTCATAGACTTAGATCTTTCTCAAGGCTTGTCCCTATCATTTTCATCAAACTTTTGCTCCTGCCTTGCTTTTCAACAATAAGAGCTTCAAATTGTAAAAATGTGCCATTCTCCTTCCTCCCCATCTCTTCATTGAATATGTTGTCCATTACCATAAGATCAGTAGGCCATTAGGAACTGAGTTGTTAAGTGAAACTACCAAGGTTTCTAACTATTATGTAGAGAACTCAAAAGAATTGAAGTAGTGCTTGAGCCTCATCATCATTAAATAATATCTTCATACTAGATAACTCATTTAGTACTTCTTGGAACTTTCTTAGATGCTCAACAACACTACAACCATCCTTGAACTTCATGTTTATCAACTTTTGAATTATGAAAGCCTTATTCTACAAGGCCTTGCACTCATACAGACTGTCCATCTTGAGCCATAGCTTATAATCATAGACCTTTTGTGCAACATAATGGAAGACACTTTAATCCACTCATTGTCTAATTTGTCCAACTGCTTTCCTATTCAAAAGTTCTCAATCATCATCAGTCTTGGTCTGGGGTTTAACACCTTTTAGCTTAATGGGCTGAAACCCTTTACAGTAAAGGATACCTTCCAGATTGTGTAGTTTAAAGTAGTCATCTTGAGCATTGTCCAGGAGCTTTCTTCCATCTCACTAGCAACTGATAGAAATCACACAACAATGAACTTTGGGCTCTGATACCAGTTTGTTGAATAAAAGAACATGTGATTTCTAAACAAATTGAAAACAGACAAGGTGAAGAAGACAATTGAGTGGAAATAAGAACAGGAAACAAGCACCCTAAATTTTTAATGTGGAAAACCCTTCTAGCAACTTGAAGGGAAAAAACTACATGGCACTAGCCCAAGAAACTTCCACTATCGATCCCTTACGATGGTGGGATTACAACCTCTAATCTCTGTTAGAAGATAATATAGCTAGAAGATGAATTCTTCTTCTTTTCAATTGCAAAAAATTGCCTTGGTGTTGTCTCAAATACATGTGGATGATGCGACCGACTCACTCACTTAAATCAATGAGAAATGCAAAATAAATAGAGGAGGATAATGGTCCATCTTCTAATTCTCCAATCATTAAATACCCAAAACAATAATCATCTCTTCATAGATTCACAAGGTCCTCAAGATACCAATAATTGCAAACTGGTGGAATACCAAAGGGTGCAAGGTTATAGAGAATCGTGAGACCAGATGCCACACAAGGCTAATGTCCGAGGAGTGATGAGGCGGAATTGGCAAGACCGTCACTCGAGGAGTCGAGGGGTTACCAACCCATGAAGCTTAATGTGGCCATGGATCCATAGGGTGCGAGGCTGTAAGGCCACAATCCCGTGAGGCACAAGATCACCATCACGTCCTTATGAGGGAAAACCAAACACTAAGAAACCTTGCAAAGATCCACAAGCAAATAATGGCTTTTGTTTTTCATTATTGTTGTTAGAATTATTTAAATATTCTAACAAAATTATATAATACCTTTAAAATATTCATTAAAAACACAAAAATAATTATAGTATATTTAATAATATTCATATTGTTAATAATTTTATATTTTTACGAAATTCAACACAGAAGTATGTAATAACAATATAAATTATGATTTTCCTTATTATTCAATTTAAACGTAATTCAAATAATAAAAAATTAACATGAAAAAAATAAAACATTATTTAAATATTTCAATAAATGAATATCTTAAATGAAAAATATTGAAAATAGCTAAATAATTATATAACAAAGTATTTAATATTATACAATAACTTAAAAATAAATAAAATTCAAATAATGAAAATTTTGAAATATTTTATATATTATTTATATATTTAAATAACTTAATATTTTAAATAATGCAATATTTAACATACTAGGTTTTAAACAGTTAAAATAACAAAATTATGTAATAAATTTAAAGAAAAAATCTTAAAAGTAGAAAAATAATTATAACATAATATTCAAATTAATAATAATTTAATATTTTACAAAATTAATATCACAACTATGTAGCTAATTTCACATATATCAATTAATAATTCTAGAAAATAACTTTTCAAAAAAATTAATATTTATTAATAATAAGTTTAAAATCTTAATACATATTTATTATATATTTATTTTTTTGATAAGTAATAAAATGATTTATTAAGAATGTTTAATATGTACCAACAAAAATTACAAAATAGAGATCCTATAGAGAGGCGCAAGATGCTACCTCAAAAAATAAAGCAAAATTACAATTGAGCCTAGAATAACTGATCCCTATGCACCCCTTGCTTGGCAAGAAAATCTGCTATCCCATTAGCTAATCTCCTTTCCCACTGAACTCTAACTATTAAATTGGATGTTAGCCACTTTCACCCCCTATATTTATTATATATTTATATATACTAAACATTACATTTTCAATAATTATGTATAAATCTATTTTTGTTTTTGTTATTCAACAGAAAATTTTTAATAGTTATTGGCGATTAAACTATTGTTATTTAACTTTTTAAATTTAATTTATTGTACTTATTGTATGTTTGTTATAATTTATTGGTTAATATTTATTAGAGATTAAACTATTATTTGAGATTACACTATTTATTGACTAATTGAATATATTTTTTAGTATTTGTTGTATTTTTGTAGTTATTGAAATTTTATTACTTATTTATTGCATATTCATTATCAATATATTTTCAATAATTGTGTATTTTCGCTATAAATTTTCAATAATTATTGGAGATTAAACTATTGTTATTTATCAGAGATTAGATTATCAATTTAGTTGAAATTATGAATGTTCACAGGTTGGTCCGGTTCGGTTGTATGCATTTTGGCCAACCAAATCGACCTAGTTAGGTTGGGGAGTTGGTCGCCCAAAACCGACTAATCGTTAGTGAAAACTAACCAACTCGGGTTGTATCGGTTTGGGTCAATTTTCAATTTGGTCAGTCGGTTCAAAAGATTTAAACTAAAAAAATAAATTTAAATTTAAAAATAAAACACAATGGCATTATTAAAAATAAATTTAAAAATTAAATTTATGATATAAAATATTTTAGACTAAGAAATATGGTAATTTACCCACTTCCGCGTATTAAAAAAAAATATTAAAAATATAAAACATTATTATATATCGATGATTGAGTTGTTCTATTGTCGAACCAAAGCCAATAAAAAATACTAAAAAACCGACCAACTCGGGTCAAATTGGTTGAGTTTATCAGTTTGATGAACAACCGTAGCTAAAATTAATTATTATTTTGTATTGTAAAAATTATTAAAAATAATATATAAAATATAAATAATTATTAATTATTTAAAAAATTAAAAATATAAAATAATTATATACTCTTATGAATTTCTATTGTTTAGCTTTCATTTAACAAATTTCGTACATCGTACAAGTCCCCGCTAGTATAAGCATATAATTAAAACTCTTTATCGTAGAGATCTGTTATGTTATGTTTTTAGTGAAGACATTACCTTGACAGTGAAGTATGAAGTTAGCTGTAGAGGATCAACACAAGATTAAGCATCCACATTACAGCTCTTTAGGATCTAAACATATCGAAGAAAGACAACCTGCCCTTGGGCTGCAGCTTATGATTTCCTACGGTCTTAGAAAAAGCTCCATTAGGACCAAGTAGACCCGAGAATGTTGTGGCAATGTTGATAGTAATCTGACTTTTAAGCGGGGACAAGACAAATTGTTAATAAAACAAAAAGGTTTCACCACCAAAAGGCCATGCAATTTGTGTCAAGTGGGACCACCCTATTTGTGTCAAATGGAACCACCTGACAGGGTATAATTAAGAAAACACAGAGTATGTTTAAGGAGACTGGATATGCTCTCAAAGAATGCTCTTCCCACCAACCAAACACAGTACATCGCAGCCATGCGTTGAGAATATCTCCCATAAATGACAATATACAAGAGAAATAAGTAAAGTTCAGCCAATCATTCTAACTTTTTTTTGTCAGCGCCAATCATTCGAATCCAAACAAATAAAACCTCCTCTGGAAACTTTGCCCATTGAGCTCTTTTATGACAAGTTCCATTTAAACTTATAGGGTTATAGGATATAAACCAGATGACCACCCAAATTACTACAAAACATCATATTGTTTGTTGGACAATATGATGAATTTATGATACTCCCAATCTTCTAAGCTTCAACTGCAGCCCCATGTGTTTACTTGATACTTAGTAAGTTGGGAAACGGTTTTGCCTTCCTTGCAGAAAGTAGATACACATACTTCTCAATTCGATACCATTAAAGGCATTGCAGTTGCGGTGGCATTCTAAGAACAGGCACTTTTGAAACATAACCCCCTTTTTTTTTTTCAGTGTGAACGTTTAGAAATTAGAACCCACTTTGTCCCTTGTTTCCATTTGTACTGAAACATAGAATCATGATTCATTATTCATGACTGAAATCCCTCCATGAACTTATATTTACTCTAAATACAAAAAAAGAACCACAAAAAGAAAGACGAGCCGCAGGGAATGCTCAAGAATTCAAACTTTACACAACAATTTTGGGTCGCTTTTCAGGGACCAAACTTTCCTAGGTTTTACATGGACAATGGCAGAAGCATTCTTCGCTTCTTTTTCCTGGCTAGTCTTACTTGCTTAGTTATTTTCATGCACACAAACAACAGCATTGCAACGCAAATCAAGCTAAAAGCAACTCTGACGTGCCTAAAATACAAAGAAACTGCGGAAAAAACCAACAAAGCAAGAACGACGAGTTCCCATATCACCCAGATCACAACATCCACCCTGTGTCCAACAAAAGCAAAACCACAACGTAAGCGTCATAAATATTAATTCAGAGATAATATAGCAAGTCTCTACACTACCTTTCCCTATCATTATTTCAAACCAAACACAGCCTTAAAAACATTATTATGCTATGGAAAAATTTTATGCATAAAAAATTAAAAACAGATACAGATGAATTCTTTATAAGTTGAAATCAAGATACATAAAAACTTTAATTCCAGCATTGAGAATGAACACCTCAGCGGCTCATGAGCTTGCAAAGTAGGCACTTAAGATGAATTAATGTAAGACGTGGTTGTATGATTGTCCTGATTTATCTCTGAAATTGTATGTAAAGAGATGGATAATGTAAATGTTTATGTTGATTGAATGGAATTAGCCTAAGGGCTGTTCAAAACAAAAATATTGAAGATGGAGACACCTGCTTATGATGATCTAGCATGTTTACCACATTGGACCATGAAACTGCTTAGTTTACATGGTTATGAACTTATGATGAGATGAAAAATGTCCTAAAGATGAATTAAAAGAAGAGAAGAATAAAGTATAATCCACAGCAGTTGTTAGTTCCCTTACAAAAAACATTTGAGGTCCTCCATTTAGCTAATGTTAAGTTGCTCAAACCTTCCAAAATTTGATATTCTAGCTAGAGCTAATAGATCCCTGGTTCATGGTGATCTAGGATGTTTTACTACATTGGATAATGAAACTGCTCAAATTCCAAGCAATGATACAATGAAATTTCTAAAGAGATGGAAATCAAATTACGGATAAACCAGGTCCTTAATATTTCATATCCTATGATTATACATTTTCTTTTCAAATTTGAACTCAAATTATTAGGACTTCAATCACCACTGCACCATAACATAATTGACTCCAAGGTACATCCCTCAAAATGCTAATAGTGAAAGCAAAAACAACAATACAGACTAGAAAATGTGTGGAAACAACATCAAAAGGCCAGGATGGCTACACCAAAGATGAGCCACATGCCCAAAAAAATAACTTTCTTAAGAGACCTTAATATCATTTTTTAGCTTTTCCATTTACACAAGAAATGAGTGGAGAATGATGCGAAAAAATATCAAAAGAAAGTAATTTGGCTAATCAATGTCATCTTCTCCTACCTTAGCCACTTCAAGTTCAAGGTAGAACAAGAAGAGAATGAGATCCATCTTACAGAAGGAGATCAAGTTGGAATACCCACAAGTTAAAAGAACATCTTGTTACAATAGAGACTAGCCTATGTCTCTCTTTCATTTAAATGATATTTTGACAAGGAGTTCCACCTTATCTATTGAATCTTGAATTAGTACTTAAATGAGATGGGTTCAAAAGGCATTCAGAGCACTTAACATGTTCTGAAGCTCTTCTTTTAGAATATCAAGCAATACATTGGAAATCAGAAATTATAAGCAAATATGGAGAGAATGCAGGTCAATCTACATTAAAATTCAAATTGAGACTTTTGCATTGCTTAGCAAGCACCTAATTAAAGATTTTTTCTGTTTTCTCCCCTCCATCAGGTCTTCCTTTAAGAAACCTACACTTTTATAATTCATAGATGGAAGTATTCAACCCACTAAGTTTCCATTTAGGCCCATTCGTTTTTCAAATGGTTAAAGGGGGGGAGGAGGAGGGTGAGGAGGAAATCGATTAATGGGATTGTGGTTCCCATTTACCGCTTTTCCCATGTTTATTTTGCACATTCATGTATGACCCATGAAAAAACATCTCCCAGGTGGGTAAGTAATTTTCCCACCTAGGGGAAAGGCTGACAAGACATGTTGGGACAATTTTGTCCATTCTAACAATGACCTTTTATAGATAAAAGAGTTATTGTATAATTTACTTGAGAATAAAAAAACACAGGTAATGCCCCTGATTTGAAGAGTTTACAGTACAAAGGACCTAGGTTCTTGCACAATGCCCCTTCAAAATGTAACAAAAGTTCAGACAAGCTCACCCAAGTTGCATCCCTAGTCCATGTAATTGCAGTGCAAATTCTTGTTGGCTTTTGCTTCAGGTTTCGCTTTGATTTGTTTGCTTAGGAGCAAAACGAAAAGTACAATGATGTGGTCTCTCCACTTAATAGTGCAAAAAATGGAGCCTTGCTACAAAAAAAAAAAAGCCTGCAAATCAGAAGTTCAGAACCAGGTGCAAATTTTGCACCAGGTCTGGACTTATGACTTAGTTTGGAAAGAGTACAAATACAAATATGTACAGTACAAATAGGTACAAAATAATACAAAATATAAGGTTTTGCACTCTACATATTTGTATTTGTACTCCTTCCAAACTGAGCCTATAGTACAAAACAAGTGGAGCCTTAAGTGAAAATAGGAAGGTAACATGAAACATTCTCCCACTTGTTCACTGGCAACCACCTGGGTTCAACATTTGTTTTTAAGAACAAGAAAAAAAGAGGAGCAGGAGCTAAGGAAAATATTGACAATTCGCAATAGAAGTCATGACTCTTCATTCACACAGTGCTTTTAGGGATGTGCCCAAATCTTTGTATTTTGCTTATGATACAATCTTTACACATAATCTTTTGAACAGATTTTGGGCAAGGAACTAATCCTCTAATCCCATTCTATAGCTACTCATTGTACATGGGTCTTCCATGATACACTTGTATGTTATGGCACTTTTGGCATTTCGCTACATGGCAACCAAGAGGGAAGGGGAACCCGAGAGCTCATTTTTTTGGAAGCCAGTTTAGGAGAGGTTTGCCAAAAAACTAGCCCTTTGGAAAAGAAACTATATCTCTCTAGGAGGAAGAATCACCCTGGTTAGAGCCACCCTTGGAAATCTACCCATTTATTTCTTATCCACTTTTTCATGTACCAGCAAGAATCTCAAGACTGATAGAAAAATATATGAGAAATTTCTTGTGGGTGGGACAAAAAGAAGGATCGTCTGGTTAAATGGGAATAGGTCTACAAGCCAAAGGAATTTGGGGGTTTAGGGTTAGGAAATATTGTTCTCAGAAATACTGCTCTCCTAGATAAATGGTTATGGAGGTTTCCATTTGAAAGAGACGGATTATGGCACAAAGTTATAGCAAGTATTCATGGTTAGGAAAGTAATGGATGGGATGCTAAACTCAATGCTCATTCAACTTCAGCTTCCCCTTGGAAAGAAATTCATAAGGTTTACCCTTTTTTCCTTAGCTCTACTCATTTTGATTTGGGAAGGGGTGATAAAATTCGGTTCTGGGAAGACCTTTGGGTAGGGGAATCTCCTTTGAAAGACTATTGCCCTGACCTTTTTTCCCTCTCTAACTTTAAAGATGCACTTATGTCCTTTTTGGGCACTCCCTCTCCCTCGGGCATCAACTAGGACTTGGGTTTTAGAAGAGCCTTAAGGGAAAACAAGTGTGCCTCTCTAGTTAACCATCTTAACATCTTGGAGACTTTAGTGTTTTAAAAGCACGAGGTGCAAAAAAAGCGCAAGGGCCATTTTGTGCTCAACTTCAGTGTTTTAACCCCATATTTACTCATGTTACTCAATCATACATTCTAATAAAAGATATTTTAAAAGACACTTAAAGTTATAAAACTTTTTTGTATAGGGATTAAGAACTTATGACCCTGATATGGACTTGTTTAGGCTTACCTCAAGGGGCTTGGTCGGGGATTCGAGAACAGAGCCCGCAGCACAGATTTAATATAAAAAATGCACAGATTTTCAAAAAGCACACGTCTGGGCTGAAGCACAAGGTGCACCAGACACATGCCTAGGCACACCAAGCATGTGCCTTTTGAAAATGTTGTGTCTGGGCCTAAGCAAGGCACATACCCTAAAATGTGCCTTGCATGTGTGCCTAGGTACACCTCAGGCGTGCCTTTTAAATTACCAGAAGACTTCTATTTTAGACCTTCTATCAAAAGATTCTAGAATCTGGGTTCCCTCACCGAATGGACTCTTCACTTGTTCCTCATTTTTCAAACCTTTAACCTTGTCTGCTTCACAGTGAAAGAAGTGTGGTCTAAGCTTATTCCACCAAAGGTTCAAGCTTTCTGCTGGAATCTTTCCTTGGAAAGGTTAACACTTGTGAAGTGCTACAAAAAACAAGGCATTTTTGTTGCCTCTCTCCTCATATGTGATTGTTGTGTAGGAAAAGTAGAGATACCCTACCCCGCCTATTAATCTCATGTTTCTTTGTTGCTCTTATATGGAAGTTTTTTGTGATCTTTTCGATTGCAGACGGATCCCTACCTAAGAGGTGGCAGACATTTTTAGGCCTAACTTCCCAAGGAAATCAAAGAAAAGAGGAAGGTTGATGTGGAGAGTTACTAAGGTTGCTACTATTTGGGTGGTTTGGGAGGAAAGGAATAACAAAACTTTTAATGGCAAAAGTAGAATCATGGAGGAGGTAGTTGAGACAATAAAAGTGAAGGTAGCATTTTGGATTAAAAATATGGAGTGCTTTCAGAGTTTCATAGTGACTATATTCTAAGGGCTTGGTAGGAGATAGCATAATCCTCTAGAGACAAAGACAGAATTAAAACGGAATGGAAACCCCCACAAGTAGTAAAGTTAAGCTGAATTTTGATGGAAGCTCTTTGGGTAATCCTGATATGGCAGGTATTGGTGTGGCAATCAGAAATTCGAAGGGCAGAATTATTGGCTCCACAAGGTCTCAGGTTAGCTAGGCAACCATTGGTGTGGCTAACTCCATAGAAGCTGAACTATTGGCTCTACAAGGTCTCAGGTTAGCTAAGCAATTGGGCCTCAGACAAGTGGAGGTGGAAGGGGACTCAAAAGTAATAATCTCTTGGGCAAGAAGTAACAAACATATTCCATGGACTCTCAAGAATGCTTACAGGGAAATAGAAAGGACTGCAAGAGAGCTTGATGCTGAATTCAAATGGGTTAGAAGGAGCGTAAATGGGCTGATGTTATGGTCATCAAATTGTTTTGGGCATCTTTGTAACATAGTATTGGTTTTAGAGCTGATGTTATGGTCATCAAACTAAACTTGATGTTTCTCACATATTATTAATATAATCAACATTTTCATTGATAAAAATGATATAATTATAAATGAACATATTTGTGTGAATCTAAAAGTAAGCCCAGGTATATGATAGAAATACACTAGGATGGTTTGGTTATGTGCATGGAAGACAATCTAGAAGGATCTAGAAGAACCATGCAATGAGAAAAAGAAAAATGTCAGATAAAAGTGATCCCTCAAGAGTCCATAGAGTGTCAATGCTTAACACATGCCTGACACAAACACTTCATTTATTTAGGAGATCCATGCAACAAAGATGCCACTGAATAAAGTGAAATGGTAGAAAGGAATTAACGTAACCAACCCCATTATGGTCAGGATAAAGCTTTGTTAAGTTGATTTGAATTGAATATACGACACATGCAGTAGTGTTCCATATTCCAACCTCTGCAGTTCAATACTTAACATAGCACTTTCTACTGCCCATGAGACCATGACTGATTTAACAATCTCTTCCAAATTATTCAAGTGAATCAATTAACGATGGTCAAATATCTCAATCAAACTTTCCTCAACTTCACCTTCCAACCTCCACACTGACCACCTAACTAATCCATGTTTCACATTCTCTTCCATATGCAAATATCCTGCAAGGTTAGGGTTTCTACTCTGATTTGTGGAAATTAATGCTCGAATATACTTCTATATTTTGATACAGAAAAGTCACTCACGAGTGTTCTATATCTAATGGAAAAAGAAAACATCTTCCTAAACACCAGGCGGTATCTTCCCTTAGGTGGAATGCATAATTCAGATTCAGACTTTCTTTAACAAACTCCCTTAAGTCCATTGTTTGACAGACAAGATGTTAAATCAAACAAGAGCAGCGATAAATCAAACAACAACCAACCCAAGAGATAATTTGACAGAACATTGGCAAGGATAACTTGAAATTACACCCACAACTTTCAACATATTAGATTTTCCAAACCAGGAGATGAGATGGGTGAAAATTATTTATGCGTTATTCAACATACTTTCATGTTTTCATTTTCTTTTAATTTTTTCCTTTTTCCCGTTCTTTTTCGGAATTCATTTCAAGCTAAATGAAACGCTTCCAATTCGATGGAAATTAAAAAAAAAAAATCAAATCTAGCGGATCTGAAATTTTTACTGTTGCTTCTGCAGAACCCACTAAAAACAGAAAAAAAAAATCACAACAAAGTTAAACGCGCATAAACCCTAGATGATCCATCAAATGACAACAATATAAAATTTCAGAAACGAAGAGTTCTGGAATTAAGAAAATACAACAGAAGCGAGAAAAACGAAACCCTGTTATTGAGAACTTCAACTTTATTTTAAAACCGAAGAGTTACCTGGAATTCGAACTAAGATTCGCGGTGGAGGAGAAAAAAGAAATAGAAGCCCAATCGTGTTTCGACCGAATCTGGTACTCCCTGAGCTGTTCCGCTAGATTCGAACGCGTGATCATGGCTTCCTCTCTCTCTCTCTCTCTTTCTGTCCACGTAGAAATCAAACAGGAATTTTTCTGTATCAGAGGCCTGAGATCATAGTAACAAAGGGTTTCTGCCTTGCTGGTAGGATCGAAGAAAAAAGAGAAGTCAGGAGGGAGAAGTTGGAGAAGGGAGAGGGAACAAGAGAAGCAGCAAATGATCTCTCTCTCTCTCTCCTCTCGTTCTTCTCTCACTCTTCTCTCTCCCTGGAATTTTGAACTTAAATAGTGAGGTTGTGAAGAGTTGCGTGGAATCTCTTGTTAGTAATTAGAAGCTTTACGATGCCTTGGACGAAGCCGGATTCAGCCAGTGCAAGCTCCATTCGAAAGGTTGTAAAGGCTGTTCGAACGAGACCGGATCTCTTCCTCACACAGGGCGCCTCATTCGCGCCTTAGATGCACATCGTACCATGCATTGGGAACATCTTCCGTAACTATAAGTTATTAGATGTTCCCAATGCACGGTAGAACGGTGTTCCACCGTTCCTGTTGTAAGGAGTAGATCCCGTTCCTGTTGGAACGGTGTTCGACCTCATCTATCAAACTCACATGAAATTTGTAGAATATATAAAAGGCATTTTACAACGTCAATTGTTTTTACTGTCGATGCTATGCAATCTGGATATTTTATTGATAGAACACCATAGCTGTACATTGAGAATATCTCTCCATGAATAATATAGCATGAAAACACGGAAATGTTTTCAATGTGCTACTGTAGTGATGTGTGGTAGGGTTCTTGTGAGTAGAAAATCTGAACACACTGCCTTCTTGGTTTTGAAAACAAATCAAAATCATTTTATTTGGAAACAAATTGTTTCTTAAAATAAAAACAAAGAAAATTTGTTCTTGATTGTGTATATATTTTTCATTCTTTTATGCCTCAAATATGTACTTTTCAAATTGAAACCAAAAATACGCTTTTAAATTTATAATTTTGAAACATATTTTCATATTGTTATTTAAAATCATGTTTCATAAATCATATAATTTTTACACCTTAACATTCTTCTTTCTAATTACAACCTTATCTAATTTAGGGATATTCATAGGTCAGTTTGGTTCAATGTAGGCTTTAGCCAATCAAATAGACTTGATCAGGTTAAGGAATTAGTCATCCAAAAGACCAAAACCAACTGATCACTGGTGAAAACTGGCCAACTCGAGTTGTATCAGTTTGGATCGATTTAGCGGTTTGGTCAATTAGTTCAAAATATTTAAATTTAAATTAAAAATTGCAACAATATTATTAAAAAATTAAATTTAAAAATATACATTTACAATATAAAATATTTTAAACTAGGAAATATAAGAATTTTTCCACTTTTCCATATTAAAAATTTTAAATTTAAAATATAAAATACTAATGTATATCTATGGTTAAATTGGATCAGTTTTGGATAGTTTATACATGGCCAAACCAAAATTGACTCAACAAAAAATAGTTGGTTTTGTTGATTTGCTTGGTTTCCTCTGAACTGATGAAACTGATCTAATTTAGTAATTCACTAGTTGGATAAAAATAAGAAAATGAAATCTACCTTTCCCGTCATTTCCTCATTTTGGAATTTTTTTGGTTAAAACTCATTTTGAAATTCTACTCTTAAGATTTACCAACGAAAAAAATTTGAATAGAAGTATATCCAAATTTGTTTCAATAAGATATCCATGATATTTGAATCCGATGGATTTATAAAATTACGATTCACGTTTGATCCAATAAATTATCGGATATTCAATTCAAAACCGAACAATATAAATGATGTTGCTCTCATCATCTGAGATTGTAAGATTGTTCCGCTGTGATGGTGGCAAGAAACTTATAGAAGGGAGAAGATTTGAGAGAGCGAAAGAGTGAGCAAGACAAAGGGAAGTGACTGGTTTTTCCCTCTAGCTCTCCTAACTTCAAGAAACAATTTTCCTTTGGTTAGGTTTGGAAATGGGTAGAGAGGGAGTGGGAGAAGTTTTTCTTTTCTTTTGTCTTTTTTCTTCTTCTTTTTTTTTTGATATTTCAACATAACACACTAACTTTTCAGCATAGGTGAAAATAGCGGGACTCCAACCAGCGTTTTTACTGGAATTACCCAGCTAATATGCCAACCAAGTTGTCTTATTTTCTTATTTAATACATGGGAAATTTTGTCCCAAAAGAATTTTCTTTCCCCCACTCACTGGTATCGATATTACTAATCGAATGGGACCATAAAGTTTCATAAAAAAACGAGATACAAAATGAATTGATTTGGGTCAATCCAAAGCCAATCTGATTATTAAATGAATCCTATATTTAGGATCTGCTTGGTTCGAGGGAATAGGACTCTAGAATCAGAATTGGAATGGGTCATTCGTTTCCTGATGTTTGGTTGACGGGAATGGGAATGAGCAGGCGGAATGCCATTCCCCCATATGAGGGAATGGCCCTTCTCGACCCCCTCCTCCGGAATGCGATTCTCATTCCGCTATTTAGTTTCCGTTTTTCTTTTTGGACAAAAACCCCCTCCAATCCAACCTACAATTGAGTTGCCACTTCCTCTATTATTCCTTGTCGTTGCCACTTCCTCCTCCTCCTTCCTCCAAATCAGCTACCACTTTTCTTGTTGTTTGTGTCGTCTACTCAAGCTTTTGCTTCTATTTCTGATCTGCTCCCTCTGAAACTGCAACTCATTTGCTCGAGCTTTTCTTGCTATTTGCGTCGTCTGCCGGAGCTTTTGCTTCTGCTCCCTCTGCAACTGTAACTCATCTGTTCGAGCTTTTCTTGTTGTTTGTTTCGTCTCCCTTGCCATTCCAAACAGATGCAATGCAGCACAGGTATTGGAAGAAACGTATATCAGAGAGAGAGAAACTGTGTACGATGAGTGTGCTTTATGTGTCAATGTGTGTACGAAGAAAAGCTCACTCTTCTAAGAAGGCTACTCTATGCTCTTCTAAAAGAAGGCTACTCTATTCTCCTGGGTTTTTCATTCGTACGTGATAGCGTCTCTCCCTTCATTACTTCAGTATCCACCTGCGCTTTCTTCTTTATTAGTGAGATTGCCCCACCCAAATCCCTATGTCTGATCTTATACATGCATCCCAAGCTTCCCCACAAAGTGAGCCAATGTTCTACTCGTTTCACCCACTTTTAAAAGATTAGAAAAAACAGAGATAATAATAAAGTGGGCCTCTATTTTGCTCGTTTCACCCGCTTTTAAAAGGTTAAAAAAAACAGAGATAGTAGAAATTGTTGTAATTTCTGCATTTTTTTACAAAATTTCTACATTTTTTTGTAATTTTTGCAAAATTTGAGTATTTTCATGCATTTTTTGAATTTTTTATAAAATTATTATAATTTCTGTATTTTCCTGCAAAATTTCTGCAAAATTTCTGCAATTTCTGCATTTTTTGTTTTTTATTTTTATTAGGGGCAAAATTGAAAATCATGGTTGATTCCGATTCCAGCCTCTTCATGAACCAAGAAGCATCAATCGGAATCTGATTCCGATTCTTGTCTGAACCAAACAGGTAGGGGGAATAGATCATTCCGATTCCGATTCTAAGGGATTCCGATTCTTACCACTAACCAAACGGACCCTTAGATTTGAATTCGATTATTATCAACTATTAGACCATATCAATATTCATCCATTTGTAGCCCTAAATGTGGCCATATTTTATTAAACAAATTGCCATATGTATCCTCAAGCTACCGGTTCATGATGGGATTGTCCATTAGTCACTTTGGCCGTCTGCTTCAGCCTCTTTGATTCTTTGAAAAGTTAACCCTAAAGTGTTTAAATGCATGGTTTTTGAACAGCCATTGGCCCTGAAATTCGAACCATTCAGCCCAAAAACTGGTCAAGTAACCAGTTTCGTTTCACCGGTTCACCCTTGAATTGTCTTTTTACCAATAACCATTGACCTAGAGTTTTAGTCAGCAAGCCACTTATTCAGGCAGTTGAATCGTCAACCCATTTGACCTAGATAAAGGTTTTTAGCCGTTTTTTTAATTATTTTTTTATTTTCTTAAATTACAATGGGTCGTCCATTCAGACCAGACGGTCAAATCACTAACCCAGACCAGAGCATTTCCAGTTCCAGGTTGATTTTTAAAATATTGTTTCAAAGTAGTTGAATCAGCTTAGCTAAATCTTCATATCAACCCTCCCAAACAAGCACTCCGCTAAGCTGGTTCAGCTGCTTTGAAATTCTCCAGATAAGCTATTCAGAGATGCTGAAGCAGACAGTCCTTCAAATGACTGGCTGACGGCAGATTTGGGCTCCTTGCTTTTTCACCAAACATAGGTTATATATAAGCTGTCCATATGGGCCCCACCTCATAAAGCCAGAAGCCATTGCACTTCAACCGTCTATTTGGGAGGACTTTTACGCAGCAGCTTCTAACTTTGCAAGGTAGGACTGACCCAAACGACATAAGAAACGTTTGTGTTTGGTGAAAACCCTGGAAAGCCATAAATAATTATGCCAAGAACATGGCATTCCTCTTGAGCTCTCCAATACAGCTCAATGAAAACAGTTCAACCAATACTTCAGCCCCCCAAACGGGCCCTTAATTGCATGAAAATAGGGGGTGCAAGTCCGGCCAGATTAGATCAGATTGAGGTCAACAGCCAATCCTAATCCAATACAAGTTGTTGCACCCCCCAACCTAACCCTAACCCTAACCCAATGCAACAACTTCAGGCTTCAACCCAACCCAACCTGGACCAACCTAATCCAAGTTGCATCCCTGTTTGAAATCGGAACAAACAACAATGTGATCGACCAAAGCCATTTTTCCCATTTGCACAAATTACTATCGGGAAACTTACCCATTAAAATTATTATCCGGTATAATATCTATATCCTTTCTCAGTTTCTCTCTCTCTCCCCCGCCCCC